AGGTTCAAGGAAAGAAGTCTCTACTTTCCCTTCCTGTTCACACAGGGCTAGCAGCAGTTAAGGGCAGTGGGTTGCTTGGGCCTGTGACTGTCTCAGCCTGAACACCAGCTACCATGGGATTACCTGCTGCAGATCCACGCTAGGGACCTCTGAGAAGCCAAGCCACCTGTAAGTGTTCTCACCAGGGAAGTCTGTTGCTTTGGCACCCCTTTCCTGTAAGGAAGTAGACCCAAGCTTCAACTCAGTACAGCTTGCAGAGTCTATGACGTACTTTCAGAAAAGGGAGGCATATGTCTTTCCTCTTGTGACTCTAGCAGATAATGCTGTGGCATACACACATTCATGGTAGAATAAACCAGTGAAATAAAACCGTACGTTTAACCAAATAGATAATGAGAAGTCAGGCCAGAGGACTGCAGATTCCACTGGAATCCCAACACTTAGAGGGGGAAGCAAGGAGGATCCAAAGTTCAAAGTCATCTTTGTCTATACTGTGATTTATATCCTCAGCTACATACAGAGGCAGAGGCAGGAAGGTCGGGAGTTCAAGATCATCTTTAGCAACTTATTGAGTTTGAGGCCACCCTGGGCAACATGAGACTCTGTCTAGAAAACCCCATTGTCGTTTCTTGCTACCACCAATGCTCTGTACTCAGTAGAGTAGGCTACAAGGGAGAAATATTCAGAGGAGCACATACTCTGTGACCCTATGAAGCCGAGGGGTCATTGTTATCATATTTGATTTTCTAGAACTTCTGAGTTCCTCATAATCTTAGAAGTTGAGCAAGGAAAAGAGACACCATCTCTACAACAAGAAGTCCCTGAAGCAAGGGCACAGCTTCCACATTTCCTGAGGTGGTTGGTGGTGGTCCCTCCCTCCATCCAAATGTCTACATCAGAAACCTTAGAGTCCCCTCTGATTGCCCAGCTCTCCAGCCCACCTCTAAAGAGGCTCCATATCCTGCCCTTGCATTTTACTCACATCTGTCCTCCCTCTCGGCATCTGCTTTAGCTCGGGGCCCCATCATCTCTCCCCCACCTCCCACTGACATCTTACCCTCCAACCGCACAAGGGACAACTTAGAGGGTCCTCCCCAGTGCGGACTGCCTATCTTGTGACACTCCCTCTTCCACTTTCAGTCACTGAGCTGACACCCTGTCACTCTCCATGCCTTACAGTCAGCAGGCAACAGAAGCCGTAAACTCCTCTTCCAGCTCCAACAGTCAAAGGGTCAGGATGGCAGCATTCTCTTGCTCTCTCAGGATCACCACACGTTGCTACTCATTCTGACATATATCTATAAACCTTCCTGTCAGCATTCGAGCCCATCTTTCTCCTGGAGACACACAAGCAGAGCCTTGACCAGTCTCTGTATCCTTCAAGTACCAGGAACTGAGCAGACATGTAGCAAATGCTCATGAACTAAACAAATGAGTTAATGGGTAATCTGGTTTCAGGGAGGCTAGACTAGCATTCTCTCAAGTGTGCAGGGACCACGTCAGCTGCCATATGCCATTCTGTAAGTCTCTTATGCCTCTGACTGCACAAGAGGCAGAGTGTTGCTTGATGAAATTAAGTACTCAAAAGCTCTATTTGTTTTTTTTTTTTTTTTTTTTTTTTTTTTTGCAACATATCTCTTCCAAGACGTAGACGTGTGGCTGAACCAACCAGCTGAACAGACAACAGGCCAGAGGGCTTGTGCCTGCTGCCACTCATACCAATGACAGCCCAAATACTACTCAATTGCTCAACAGAGCCTGGGCAGCAGGGAGTTCCCCAGGATTAGTGAGGTGTATGGCAGAGCTGGCACACAAAATGGGCCATTCCAAAGTTTCTGGAAGACAGACACAGCAGGAGCAGAGCCCAGGGAATAGATCACCAAGAAGAGCTCTCGTTTCCTTCCTAAGGAGACAAGAAGAGACCCTGGGGAGCTCAGAGATAGGCTGGGACCTGGTTCAGCTGCTGAGATGCAGCCAGGCCAATTAAATAATTGGCCTGATAGGGAAAGAAGGGAGCCACTCCTTTCGGGCAAACTCCCGCCCCAGACAGGAGGCTCCAGGCAGCTGTGGTAACAGCAGCAGCAACAACAAGGCAGGGATTTCTTCCTCTGCCTCCCACTAGCTGAGAGCTAATGCTTAAATTAGCACCTTGGAAACACCCAGATCTACTGGCTGCACCTTCTCTCTCAAGTGCTGCCACTCCCACAAGCCTCTTTTTCAAGATGAGTTTCTCTTTCAAGTAAAAATAAAGAAAAAGATGCTTCTTCTGGGGGAGGGTTATTTGATGATGAGGTCCAAGACAGATCTCTGTCCATACATCCAGGTCCTGAAAGGGGCAATGAGGCCAATACTGGAGCTTCCATCTTTTCTTGTGGTCTAAGGAGGCAGACTCTACTCTGCCTTAAGGAAGCTCACTCATGGAGTGAGCAAGAGAAACAAGCTTTTACTGAATGGTGTGGTCCAGCAGGGCAGGGCTCCATCTGAACTTACATGGCTAACCACTGTGTCCCTGATATCTTGTGTAGAATCTGGAACAGTGCAGATGTTCAGTATTTGGTAAATCAATTTTCTGAGTCAATATATCAGGCTCCATGATATTCTTTGGAAGGGAGAATGAGGAACTATTGTTTAAACATTAAATGAATAGTTTGTCTTCATTTTGTAAATGGAAAAACAGTTCAAGGAGAATGAGAGACTTCCTAGAGGTCACTATAAATAATAGCAAAAAATGGAAGAGATCACAGGTGACTTTGAGCCTGGGACCCTAGTTTTGATGGTCTTTCCCCAAACACCCCTACAGAACCATCCTGCCCTCTCCCTCTGTGGTGTGCATCTTGATTCCTTATGACTCAGTGAAGGTCCCTGGGGGAAACGTCACACAACATTCTCCTGTTTTCAACAGAATAAAGGGCACTTAAGAAGGCTGGGGTGTCTCTAGACTCCAGCATAGGAAGAGTCAAGAGACAGGGGAATGTCTATGACCCCTAAGTATTAGACTATATTGTTACTTCTTTAAGATTCACTCAACCTCAACACAGTATTCTCTTGCAGACTACTTCAGCTTTCAAAAAAGGACGTGGGCAGCTACAGCTATTCTAATAAGCACCTCCTCACCACAAACTTCTCTTCTTCGGGGCCACACAAACCAAAACAGCTCAGGAGTCTTCCACCCATGATTAGGAAAGAATCCCAGGAAATAGCAGAGTCACCAAGGACAACTGCACAATCCTGACGGCCTTACTCTTCTCTTTCCGTGGACAGCTACCATCTCAGGAACCTCAGATGAGAAACAAGAACCAACTCCTTTCCTAGACTTACAAGAACCTCCGCCCCTTTCATCCCCGCCTCCACATATGAGTAGCTTAGAACTGGAAGGGCATCGCATCCTAGTTTGGAAGCAAGGTTAGCTGAATAGGGAACCTATTAAGCAAAGGTCTAACCCAGCTAAGGTTCTTTTTTTTTACATTCATAGACTAAACTTCTCCCTGGGGATATTCTGGTTCCCAAACAATTCAGTAGTAGCATCAAGGTAGGGAAAAGTCTTGCAGCACCTCTACAGGTTCAATATTGTACACTTCTACAAAGCCCGTCTGTTTCGGCTTCACAAAATGTAGAAGACAGATCTCCAGCTAGGTGGCAACTAATTATCCAACAAAATATGTGGCATGGAGAACTCCATACTTCCCACCTTCACACCTTGGTCCATCTTGGTTACTGTAACAGGCAAGTTATTTATCTAGGAAACCACAAAGCATACTGTCAATTCTGAAGCTGCAGGCTCAAGAGAAGAACCTGTTCTGGCCCACTCTGACTAACACAGAGGGAAGGGACTTAGGGAGCCCCTGAGCTTAAGTGAGAGCACATGTCAGGGCCAGCAGAGTACAAGGGATCTACACGTTTTGGTTCCTGGCCTATCCTGCTTCCTTTTAGCTCTTGCAGCACAGGCTCCAAGGTGGGTTAAGTGAAGCCTCAGCGTTCTTTCCCCCTCCCTTTTCTAGTCCAGCTGGTTAGGCCTCTGACCTTCCTACCTATTTGCGAGCAGCAATGACAGCCAGGTAGCCCTAGGGCAATGGCCAGCAGGCATCATCTTCTTTAGGCCATGCCTCCACAAACCGGCATCACCCTCCCCCCCTTCCATCCCCTCGGCGCCGGCATCGATGACATCATTCCTGCCTGACTCCAGGACCGCGGACCGGAGGCAGGATCCCCGCCCTGCAAAGACTCTAAGCACGTAGGCCTAAGATGACAAGGGCTCTTCCGAATTCCGAACGGGTCTGCACAGGCTGCTCCAGCACAGCTCCACCTCCCATTCTTGGAGGTACCTTAGTGTTCTCATGGACACCGGTGATTCTTCATCTCGCCACTGCACACTCTTCCCCTTCCCGATTCCAGATGCCCCCAGCTTGAACTGGGGGCGCTCCTCTTTCTAGAAGAAGGAAATTCCCAGGTCCTGCACCGAACCTCTGCTCCCATCGGTGCCTGGTTCCTATTCAGCTTTGCTATTTATATAAAGGACTGGCGAGCAGGCCTCTCCTTTTCTAAAAGCCTATTTGCAGTCCTCTTTAGACTGACCGATCTCCTGGCCTCCTCCCTCGTCCTGAGCATCACAGGCCTCGAAGGCTAAACGCCTTTCTCATCCGCCCTCATCCCCATCCCCTGGGTCTGCTGCCAAAGATACCCAGTGACATCCCCCTCGATCACCCTACTAGCGGTGTGCACCATCGGGCTTCCCTGGGTCCTATCCGACGGCGTTCTGCCTCCGCTGACCGTGCCCTCCGCCCTTCCAGGTCCTTCGCTCTCACCGCAGGTAATCCCCCCCCCCCACACACACACACGGTTTTCTCTCTCTGCAAGACTCCCTCCCCCGGCAATGCGTTTTCACGGCTCCCCCTGCCTTATCAGATGGCGCCCCCCTCGCACAATCCCCACGGCCTAGTTCCTTCCCTCCTCTCCGGCGGCGCCCCTCCCGGCCCTGGCCTGCCCGCCGCCCGCCCCCTCACCAGCGGCTGCATCTCCGAGTGCGCGGTGGGCACCTGGAACCGGTCGATCTCCTCCATCATGGTGCCGGTGGGCGAGCGGGCCAGGGGCCGGGCGCGGCCAGGGACGCCGACGGGACCGCGCGGGGCGGCGGCCCCAGAAGCCCGGCAGATGATGCAGACTAGGCCGCCCCGGACCCGTAGGGCGAAAAAGCGGATGGAAGGACGGACAGGCGGCGAGAGGCTCGCGGGCTGACTGTGGCCGGCGTAAGCTCCGTGGGGTTGCCTAGAGCTACCGCGGCAGTGGCCCCGCGGAGCCGCAGGTCTTGCCTCGCCTCCTCCTCCGCCGCCGCCTCCTGTCAGCAGCTCAGCCACTGCGGTGACTCTGCAACTCCACTTCCGGGTCCGGGACACCGCCCGGATCCTGCATTATTCATGAGAAGGCGGTGCCTGGACGCCCCAGCCCTGCCCACTTGCGGGAGCTCCCAGTGCGCGCGGCGGGCGGACGTAGTTTCGCTGCGGGGGCGGGGCTTAGCGGGGCCCGAGGATCCTTGCGCACCCTGCTCCGCCTCCTCCCCGTGCCGGGAGGGGGCGCCGGGCGCGCCTGCGCTTCGGCTGCCTATCGGTTGCTGGGTAACCGCGTCAGGGAGGAGCCGACGCTGTTCTACAAGGGCGCGGGGACCCACAAACGACAGCTGTCCCTGAAGAACCCTGGTAACCGGGAATTGAAGTGGAAGACAGCCTGCGTTTCTCGTGTGTGGTCAAGAAGGCGAAAATTCTCCCCAGGAGAGGGAGCGTTTTGCAGGTTTTTTTCAGGGTTTGAGGTGCTTTCTATTTTTTTTGTAGCAATGCCCCAGAAACAGACTCGTAAGCAGGTAATGTCATACTGTGGCCTGCGGTCTTCTGATGACCTCTGACCTTAACCGCCGATTATTCCCTGTTGATCTCCAACCTCTCTCTCTTGTGACTCCTGGCTTGTGTTCCCACGGCCCCGAGTCTCCTGTTCTCCCTCACAAATCCTGTCCTCCTCGCCCATGTTTTCCTGAACCCTCTGTCATTTTACTTTTAACTGCATCTGTCTTCCTTACTATTTCCACCTCTTCACTTCACAGACCCAGCCTGTCCAGTCCACCCCACCCCCCAGCCCTCCACCCCTCCTCCCTTCAGTCCTCCCACCCCTCCTCCCTTCAGTCCTCCCACCCCTCCTCCCTTCAGTCCTCCCACCCCTCCTCCCTTCAGTCCTCCCACCCCTCCTCCCTTCAGTCCTTTGCTCATTGCCTTCTCATTCTTGTCCCTAAGGACTTTGTCCAACACCCTGCTGCATGGTTAGTGCTGAGCTGAGTGTGAGGACAAGGGGCCATTTGTCATGTGGGAGCTCAGAGAGGGGGCACAAGAGAGGACTGTACAGGAGACATGAAACAGATCGTGTGCGGGAGTTTAGAGTGAGAGTTTCCACAAAGACCCTCTTCCCACCCGTCGTCCCTGCCCTCAAACACAAGTCGCCTCCCTATGAGCCTCTCACCCACTCAATCATGCGAATATTGTGTCTATGTCATCTGGCAAGATGGCATCCTTCTCACAGGAGCTTCGAATCACCCCCGCCCCCCAGCATCACCACAGATGACAAGCTAGTCTCAGGTTCTCAAGGAGCATTCTGGGATATAAAAACTCTGTCCTTCAGAAATTGCTTTTCTAACTATCAGGGCTTTTTTTTTCTCTCTCTCTCCAAACTTTTCTACACTTAAGCCTAGGTGTGTTGAGGTCTGGAGAGCAAATCTGTATCCATGATATTTGTGACTTTACATATTTTGATACATATTTTTGCATATGAACCTTGTGCCCTCCGCTTCTCTTACACTGGCCACCTACAGCTGAAGAACCTATCATTCTTAAAGTTCTGTAGCCTTTGAGAGGTTATTCTGTTCTTGTGTTGGCCATGTCCTAGTTTTATGTTGAGACTGAGCTGTGTTTTGAAACTCTTGTAGTGTGCTTAAGGCAGCTGGCCCTTAGTTCATAGGCAGTTTGTTTTAACTTGAAATTACCAAGGTCTAGCTAGTTATATATAGTAAAATGGATCCTTTTATATGATCCTTTTGTATGTATAAGAGCTGGACACTTATACAGATACAATTAAAATATAGAATATGTCCTCTATTACAAGAAATTCTCTGTGCCTTAGTCCACTTGCACTCTTCCTGTCCCCTACCCCCTGACCTCTGGTCTGCTTTCTCACCACAAATGAATTTTTTGGTAGCAACTTGTAGTTTTAATAGGATGAGTGTCTCCAGTCTCATTAGGGGAAACATCAATGACTTGTTAAGTTGAAAGCAGAGAGTTGACAACAGGTAGGGAGGAGATCAACCTAGGTCAAAGCCCTGCACACACCAGCACTGTCTGCTGGAGGGAAGGGGTATTTCAGTATACCACAAACACTCGTGTGTTATAAGAAAAGGCTAGGTTGTGCTAGATTGTGTTTATCATGGTCTTGTCTCGGTGAAACTCAATTCAGATCAGTATTAAGGTATGCTGAGTACCGGACATGCTTGAGACATTTTCTCTGTCTCCCAGCATAATAGATAGCAGACAGATGAAGGATTCCTGGGGCCGAAGGAGAGAAAGGCATGCAGGTTGGAGCAGTGGAGAGGCTTCAGAGAGGAGACATTAGGACTCGGAAGCCCACAGTGGTGAGGAAAGGTCAGGATTGGAGTAGCTAGAGGACAGAGAGAACCTTAAACTTTTAGTTCATGTCACACCACTGATCAGGTCTTTTAGTGCTTTCTTCTTTTAAAGGTGTGTGTGTGTGTGTGTGTGTGTGTGTGTGTGTGTGTGTGTGTGTGTGTGTGTGTGTCTGCTTAGACAAGAGGCATCAGATAACCCCGGAGTTAGAATTTCAGATGGTTGCTAGCCACCCAAGGTGGGCTCTGGGAATCAAACTCAGGTCTTCTGCAAGAGCAATGCATGCTCTTGATAGCCTCACTTTTTCGTATTTTCTGTTGCTCTCAACATCTCAAAAGTCTAACTGGGTTGATTCATAGGGCCCAGACAGCCCCAGTCCACTTCAGACTTATCATTAACTACATGAAAACTTTCCCATCAGTACAATGACCTGCCCTCTCCCTGCAGAGTGACAGCCACACTCTCTTTCTCCTTCAGGCTTGTGGCTGGTACAGTCTTTCCCATCTGCTGCCATCTGCTTCACTTTGCCCTGCCCTAAATTTCCCTTTTCTTTCTTGTGTGTCTGTCAAGTTTCAACACAGTATTCATACTTTCCTATAAAGGACTAAGTCCACTTTCTGGAAACAGACCACTGTATAAACTCCTTTGTGGCAAAGCTCAAATCTATATTCTTTTCATTGCTGCTCTCCATTTCTTGGATACAACCTTGCATATGTTTAATTCTGAAAAGAAACTGGTTGAATATTAATCTGAATGCATGAGCTTGTCTTTGGGAGTTTTCATCCGAGTGTGTTTGATAGGCAGGAAGGAGTAAGCCTGGATGGAACTAATAATAACAGGGAGCTTAGTGGGACCTGGTAACATGGAAATGCATGTATAAACATGCTCTTCTGGGCTCCTGTGTGTGTGGCTGCTTTGGCAGCAGGCAGGGCTGTGAATGATTGGATTGAACTATGTTCATCTGTGGCTTAGGAGATGGGTGGAAGGGACTAAGAGGCTGAAAAATCCTCATGAGGTAACTACTCCTTCTTATTCTGTAATTACAGATGAGCTGTGTACTCCATGCCAGGGACTGTCGTAGGTATTGGCGACACAGAGAGAAATCACACACACACACACACACACACACACACACACACACACACACTCACACCCCACGTGGAGGGAAATTGTCAATAAATAAATAAGTAAAATGTGGTGTGTTTGATGGAAGACGGTGCCAAGAAGAAACACAAATCAGGGTGATGTAGTTATACATTCGGAGTCAGATGATCATAATTAAATCAAGTGTTCAGACTCAGCCTCACAGAGGCAACAACAGAGCAAAGCCCTTCAGGAAAGGCAGGAGGTATGGCATCACTGGGGGTGGGGGAGTGAGGAGCCTGCCAGACGGTTGGCATAGCAAGTGTAAAGCTCCTGAGGCTGGGCCCCACTACTCGTGCTCTGGGTCAGCAAGGAAGGCAGGCAAGTAGTAGGATAAGGTCAGAGAGGTGTCTCTTGCCTCTCTCGACTTTACCCCCTAGCGTTAATCAAATAACTCACACCATATTAAATCAGTCATGATGGCACTCCATGAATCATAATTTGTAATTAAAATGCATGAATGCCAGGCACCATAAACCATGACCAGCTCCAAACATCACTGGTAATGCCTCAATAACAAACTGCCCTTCCTAAAAATGGTGAGCATGCCAGCTAGCTGTGTGTGTTATGCGCAGGAGCTTTACAGCGTTGCCAAACATTGCCTGGCAGCCAGACTTCTGAGTAGAAAACCAAATTAGAGTCTTCTGTGAACTCCAGTTAAGAGCTAATTTTAGTTTATGACTAACAAATTTTAGTACCCCTTTATAACTCAGTTGGTTATCATTAAAAAAAAAAAGTCTGGAATTTTGCATTGTTTGCTTATAAAAGCCCCCAAAAAAACTTACATCTAGACAACTTTGTGGTCTTCCAAGAAACCCCCCTGGGGCAACACTTTCAGAATAGTGATCTGGATGAAGAGTGACTGGGATGGGGTAGAGGGACTGGATTGGCATGAGGCCAGAAGAGAGCATTAGATAAGTAATTTCTTCCTAGGCTTTCCTACCTCACTTCCTTCTAAATACCTCAGACTAAACCACTCCCACCCCCATGCCCAATCCATAAACCTCTCCCACCTAGAATGCTACAAAAACCTTGCACCTGTTCACGCCCTTTCGAATCCATTCTCTACACTGCATCAAGAATGATTTTTATTTTCACCCATGGTAGTACACAGCAAGACCCTGCTTCAAAAACAAAAACAAAAACAAAAACCTGGTCTGCTGAGATGTCTCAGTGGAAAAAGGGGAGCTTGCCATCAGGCCTGGAAACTCAAATTTTATCCTGAGAACGCACATGGTAGAAGGAGAAAACCAGTTACCAGGAATTGTCCTCTGACCTCCACATGCATGATGTGGCATGCACACACACACAAATAGATATATAAAAGCATAAATGTAATTCAAAGCAAACAAAACCCCAAATCTTTTATTCCTTTCTTCTTCTTCTTCTTCTTCTTCTTCTTCTTCTTCTTCTTCTTCTTCTTCTTCTTCTTCTTCTTCTTCTTCTTCTTCTTCTTCTCCTTCTCCTCCTTCTCCCCCTCCTCCTCCTCCCCCTCCCCCTCCTCCTCCTCCTCCTTGGTTTTTTTAGACAGAGTTTTTCTGTATAATTTTGGAGCCTGTCCTGGAACT